AGGGCCCCGGCCTCCCGGCAGCACTAACTTCTCAGCCAGCAGCTCCTCTATTCTCCTTCTTTTCTTCTCCCTAAAAGAAAGAGAGAATAAAAGAAGGGTCAGCATCACGCTACACACTGGGCGCCGCGAGGGGATGAGGGGCGAGGGGACGGGGCGGAGGGTGGGGGGGACGCCGGGTGGAGGCGACGACCGCCCACCGCCGCGCTCTCTCACAACCCAGCCCGGCCCGGGGCGCCTGCTAGAGCCCGGGTACTTACGGCTCCTCGCCATCCGCCATATTGTTCTCCGCCTCTTCCCAGGAACCCCCACGGCGGGAGGAGCGAAGGGGCGGGGCGAGACCGGGAGGGAGAAGGCGGGGCCGGCAAAGGAGGCGGGGGGCGGCGAAGGGGGGCGGGGCCGACAAAGGGGCGGGGAAGGAGGGGAGGAGGCGGGGCTAGTGGGGCTGCCTGTGCCAGGCTCCCGTGGCTTCAAAGACTTCTTTGTAATTAAAATCTTGATTAAATACACTTAATTGGAGAATACTAGTGTATAATGTTATGCTGTGTGAGAATACAGACGTAATACATTATTTGTTTATACAATTTATGTATATGCAAAGCATCTCATCACCTAAAGATAAATGGTGATAAAATTTTGGAATACTTTCTTCCAGAGTCAGAGATAGATAGGTAGATATGTAGGTAGACAGATAGGTGTGTCTGTGTGTGTGTGTGTGTCTGTCTGTGTGTCTGTGGGTGTCCCCGTGCGCGCATGCATGTGCTTGTTTGGATGGCTGGATACAGAAAAACAGCCATGTTCAAAAATACTTGTGTGCATACATATATATCTATATCCTTTCTTGGAGTGGGACAAGAATGAGATTTAGAGTCAAAAGAAACAGTTTAAATCCTTAACTCTCCACTAATTAACTATGAGACCTTGGGCACTTCTATCTTCATTTGTAAACTGGGGATGATAATGTTTACCTTGTAAGACTGGAATTAAATGAAACCCATAGTGTTTTCAAAATATAAACCCTAATCAGTCACATCAGCATCATTAGAGAACTTGTTACAAATGCAAATTTTCAGGCCCCACCCCCAACCTTCTACTAAGCTTTGGATGATTCTGTGCAAAATAAAGCTTCAGAACCACTGAAGTGGAATGAATGCATAAAGCCTGATAGGCACTCAGTAAATGTAGCTGCTAATAATAAATTATGATATTTAATCTCCTCTTTGTCCCCCAGTCAGGTTTAAGTCAATAGCGTTCATTGAGCTGAAAGTCAGTGCCAGGCAGTAAACGGAGGGATAGAGTTCACAGTCCACAGTACTTAACAGGAAACACCAGCCTCTCTCCAGGTCACACGTCTCAACATCAACTAAGAAACCTCTTTTTTTGCCTAGACTCCTCCGCAGATGGAAACTACTAAAGTTCTTTTTCAAAACAGGCTCATGTGTGCTGGGTCCCCAGCAATGCTACTTTTAGGAGACCTTTCCATTAGTGGCAGTGAGCATCACAGCCCCCTCAAATGGTAAAAACCAAAGGGTGCCTTGGAGATCACGTAGTCCAAACCCACATACTTTGTGAGGAGGAAGCTGAGGCCCTCCATGAACAGAAAGGGGCTGGCCCAGGAAGAGGTCTGCAAAGGCATCTGGCCCTGCTTGTGCCTTGGGACTAACACCCTGACTCACTGTGGTGGTATTTTGATAGATGACACCAGGCACTCCCACTGGCTCAGAGTGACAGATAAGAAATAGCCACCTGTCCTTGCCACTAATGAAAGTAACAGAGACATGCAAGCAGAACCTTGCAACAGACTTCATTTTAAATGGACTATAGCACAAACTGTTAGATTATCCACTATGGTTTTTATACAGACAGATAAATATCCTGGGTGGTCGTATCTAGAAGCACAGATTTGGACAGAAGAGCCCCAGAAAGGCTCTATGTTGAAGCCAATCTCCCTGAATGAACAATGGACAATGACAAAGAGCTGTGACTAAAAGCATTTCAAAGAGAGCCTGAAATAAAGTAAGGATTCCACATGTGTTCATTTTTATTTTAAATAATTTTATGATAAAGGTCGAAATGTGTAGTGGAAAAAAAAAGTCTCTCATAGTTAAACCAGAGAGAGAAGGATGGTTAATATTTTAGGAGAGAGGAAGAAAGGTATCATGCTATATACAGCTCTATCCAGATTTTTTTCATTTCTTTGTTTTTAAACCTCTTTGGAGGTTTAAACAAATAAATTAAAAAACATTGAACAAATGTTTACTGGATATCATTTGCCTATGATCAGTGAGTAATGCTATTATTACTAACAAACACTTGACAACTTATGGTCATGCGGTCCTGAGCAATTGGAAGGTAAAAGTTCTTGGTCACAGCTCCTACTGGGGTCCTACTGGGGCTCCCACACTGGTCTGGACCAAGATCGTTTACTCAGCTTGCCCACAGCACAGCTTCTTGAAATTCTTAAGCCCCAAGGAATTCTTCACCACCCTCTGACTTCCTGTAACTAAGAACCAAGCCCTGGCACACCTTTATTTAGTACTCCTCTCACTGTCTTGTATTTAAGTTTAGGTTTCTACTGCATTGCAAGATCCTTGAAGGCACAAGAAGACTGCATTCTTTTCACCTTTTTCACCTGGAAAGGACTCAAAATATGTGTTGGCGTCCTAGTGATATTTTTCAACATTTTGTTTTGCTATCAAGTCTATCCAGATACAACCAGAGCAATAAAATTGCAACTAGATAGAGAAAGGTCAGTGAATGTTCACTATAGCAGCTTAGAAAACAACTCAGGTTAAAGCAGTGTTAATACCATACAGATGAATCAAGTCCTGTATTATGATTAATAACAGTAACAGTAGTATCTAACAATGTGCAATTACTATACTCTAAACATTTCCCATCCAGTATTTTATTTATCTTCACCTGTATGGCAGATGTTCCTATTACACCCACTTTACACATGAAGAAACTGAGGCTGGAGGAGATTAAGTAATTTCTCCAAAGTCATTCAGCAGCAACGAGGGAGCTAGGACTCTAATTTTGCTCTCTCTGACTTTAAACCTTCCTGTTTTTCCAGAATCGAGAAAATGTGAGAGCTCAGGAACATTTTCACATTTTAAACTTTATTTAAAAAGCGTCATCTAGTGGCCATGGACCACTACAGGGCGTGAGTGGTGGGTGACCTGAGCGAGCAAAGCTTCATCTGTATTTATAGCCGCTCCCCATCGCTCACACTATTGTCTGAGCTCCGCCTCCTGTCAGCATTATGGTGAGTTGTATAATTATTTCATTACATATTACAATGTAATAATAATAGAAATAAAGTGCACAATAAATGTAATGCACTTGAATCATCCCCAAACCATCCCCCCACTCCATCGTGGAAAAATTGTCTTCCACAAAACCAGTCCTTGGCGCCAAAAGGGCTGGGGACCGCTGATCTAGGAGATATCTTAGCGATTGGATTCAATCACCAAACTTTCCTAAGCACCAGTGGCAGGAGTAATTTCTTAGAGTCACTGAAATTTTCTTAACTGGCTTCTGAATCATCAAGGGAAATCAAATTGTCTCTAGACTTTGCATTACGTATATTTTATGGCTTTCCAATTTTTTGAAAATTGGTAGTCTGAGGAAAGTGAATTCAGTTTTTAAAAACAGCACCACTTGAAGGTTTAAAGACTTCGTTATCTTACATGCTAGCATCTTAGAAATCTGCCTACCACACAATTAACCAAAATACTTTATTCTTATGCATCTTGATAGAAGGAGGTTTACTTTATCAACCAGCCCGTTAACTGAAAAAAAGATGACTCTTCAGAACCCCTAGAAGGAAATTTACAACTAATACATCTCTTGGCAGTTCTTTAGGCTGGGATACAAAGCTATCACGTAGATATTAAAATACTGTGCTCCCTTAGAGATGTTCACAGATAATTAGGATAAAACTAAGAAAGCAGGACTTCCCTGGTGGTGCAATGGTTAAGAATCCGCCTGCCATTGCAAGGGACACGGGTTCAATCCCTGGTCTGGGAGGATCCCACATGCCGCAGAGCAACTAAGCCCGTGCGCCACAACTACTGAGCCCGCGGGCCACAACTACTGAAGCCCGTGCGACTAGAACCCGTGCTCTGCAATGAGATAAGCCACCGCAATGAGAAGCCCGCGCACCGCATGGAATAGTAGCCCCAGCTTGCTGCAACTGGAGAAAGCCCGTGCGCAGCAACGAGGATGGAATGCAGCCAAAAAAAAAAAAAAAGAAAGAAAGAAAGAAAGAAAAAAACTAAGAAAGCTTTATCTGGAGTCGAATCCACGTTTCTGCCCAGAAAATACTGGGTGCAGAACAATTAGTTCACTGCAGATCATTGTTTAGTTTCAAACGTAAACAACATGCTCAGCTCAGGGCTGAAGTGACCAGAGTGCCCACTTCATCAAACCAGCACAGTAGTTGTATAATTTTGCCCTCACAGAACAGAGATAGAGAACAAACAAGAAAAGTGAAAGAACAAACCAGCCCTTCCGTTCTACACGTCCTTCTTTTCCATTTTGCCAGTCTCATTTCACTCATAGTGACTCATGGTGAAACAGAAACATGTGAATTGCATTCGGATGTGCAAAGGTTAGTAACTACTTAATTTTCAAAACCAGCTCATCCTCCAGAAACACTATAGTTGCCTTCCACTCCATTTCACTTAGATTGGCTTCTGAACAGCTGCAAAAATTGTCCTTAAAGTCCAGACGACATTCGTAGATTAGACCCTCAAAAGGGGTATTTTAAAGCAGGCTGTATTCGGACTGCCCGGGAAGGCATTGCCACTTCTCTTCAGACAGGGGATTTCCGCCGATTTCTTTCTGTTATTTCACCTCTGTTTTGCACTCTGCTCCTTGCTCTGTTGGCGGGCCCCCAGTTTTCCTGTAACCAACCACTTAGAACCAAACAAGAAGTAAAGAAGAGAAGAAACGCCCGCCCGCTCCCAATTTCCTTTGTTTCTCTGCCCACCAACCGCAGAGCCGACCGAGCCAGAGCCGCTGTCATCTTTAACCCAGCTCAGCAGATCGGTTGCCGCCACCGCCGCCGCCAGATTCCAGAAGCAAAGAACAAGAAGCTGGGAAGGGAGACATGGACGTGAATATCGCTCCGCTCCGCGCCTGGGACGATTTCTTCCCAGGCTCTGACCGCTTCGCCCGGCCGGACTTCAGGGACATTTCCAAATGGAACAACCGCGTGGTGAGCAACCTGCTCTATTATCAGACCAACTACCTGGTGGTGGCTGCCATGATGATTTCCGTCGTGGGGTAAGTGGGGTCCCCCTCCCGGGCACTGATCGGGGTCAGCACCGAGTGGGCTGTCGGTGCAAGATCCCGGGATGCGTAAACGCTCTCCAAGACCAGCTCCTGTCCTGACAACTGCAAGCGGCCAAACCAGAGGAAACCTGTTCGCAGGGCGAGGCCGCAGCAATCTGGGCCCCCCCCTTTTTTTTTTCCTGCGCTTCGGGCTGAAGAGTGATGGGGGATCCTGGGGTGAGGAAATGTTGCCAACCTCAGGCAAGAAAAAAATGACTTCTTTCCCGCTGTGCCCCAATTACGCTTTTGCTGGGGGTGATATTTGTAGCGCCCCAGTCTCTTAAAATTAAGAAGAAAGAGGAAAGTGGCGTAACCTTATGCTGGGGCTGGCTGGGGCGGACGCCGCCCTGGAAGGCTTGGGGCGCCAGGGTGTGGATGCGGACTCTGCCTTCTGGGGTGTTAGTGTAGAAGGGGCATCAGAGAGGCGACTCTCTTTATAGGTTTCTCTGCCTAATGCCTGCCACATTGTACGGGAAAGCTGAGCTTGGGAGCAAAAGGGTGGGTGTAGGGCTTCCCTGGTGGCTCAGTGGTTGAGAGTCTGCCTGCCGATGCAGGGCACACGGGTTCGTGCCCCGGTCCGGGAAGATCCCACATGCCGCGGAGCGGCTGGGCCCGTGAGCCATGGCTGCTGAGCCTGCGCATCCGGAGCCAGTGCTCCGCAAGGGGAGAGGCCACAACAGTGAGAGGGCTGCCTACCGCAAAAAAAAAAAAAAAAAAAAAAAGGGTGGGTGTAGCCTGGTGGCGCATCTCCCAGTGTGGGGTGAAGTCTACCATGACTTTAGAAACGGTGTCCTTTTGCTCTTTTTTTCTTCCAGGAGTTGCCAGGCATGGTCACTTTATCTTCACACCCGATCTTAAAATTGTGTCCTCTGTTATATGCGATTTCACACAACACCTGTTCTTCTAGAAACCACTTTTTCTTGTAGTTCACCCTTTAAGAAATGCTTCACTCACTTTTGCAAGATGGGGTGGTGATATTCTAGATCTTGCTGATCCCATGCATCTTTAAAGAAAAAAGCACTCTCAGACTTTATAAAGAAACCCACTTGCCATTAAAGAAGTGTCTGGCATTTCTATTTGAAAGCAAACACAGAGGGAAAAAGCAAGCTGGCCTGGGAGAAAGGAAAAATCTAAACTTGTAAAGTGTGGGAAAGGGCAAATAGGATGGTTTCTGTAGTTGGTTTGCTGCGTATACCAACTTTGGCATATTTATTGAGTCACTTCTCTGTGCCAAGCTTGGGCACACCAAGATCAATCACACATGAATCCTGACCATAGGGCACGTGACAGTTGTTGAGAAGATGTAGGACCAAATACCCAGCACAGGGGGGAGAGGGAGAGTTCACAGTTTCTGGGTGTGGTTCAGAATATTTGACCCCATGCAGAAGTGGACTCTCATCTGTGTGACTGAATAGACAATTACACAGATCCTCATGATGTGTTGCTTAAGGAATTTCCAACTCAGAATGGCTTGGTGTGTGGACAGCATGGGCTCTGAACCGACTCTGAATTATACAGCAGCCAAGTTAAAATTAGTTGGAGTCAGACAGGCCTGGAGCAGCTGCTTTCTGAACCTTCCCCTAGCTTTATGCTTAAGGCTTATTTCTCCGAACAATAAAAAAATTTCTTTAAAACAAAATCTCTGGTAAATAGGATTGCCTCTGTTGTTTTGCTTTCTTTTTCTTTTCTCTTTCTTTGTAAAGGCATCTTACCTGGGGTCTTTTTTTTTTTTTTTTTGAGGTACACTCCCCCAAAGCTAGATATAGGGCAAGATTTGACACAGACGAATCAAATGTACAGGAAAAAAAACAAAAACAAACAAAAAAACCTTGCTTTTCAAAAAGATGTACTGCCCAGATCAGACACAAGCTCCAGCAGCCTTGCTACCTTGATGGAATTCATTTTTCACTATGAATGCCCTGACTAAATATAGCTCCTTCATTGTGGTGTCTTAGCCTACTAACTCAGGCAGTTTGGGGTGTTGGCTCTTCCCATTTCCCTTTCCAAATAGGAGATGGGGATTAGCAGTCACACTTTTGACAGTGAAAGTGAAAAGTAGCCATTTCATTTTTTTTAAATGTCTTTACAATGGTGTGTTACTTTCTGCTGTATAACGAAGTGTATCAGCTATACGTATACATATATCCCCATATCCCCTCCCTCTTGCGTCTCCCTCTCACCCTCCCTATCCCACCCGCCATTTCATTTTTTAATTAATCTTATCTTTAAAAACTTACAAAAGATACAGGCTAGTAAGTTGTTTTGAAAACTGTGTGCCAAGTGTGGGATTCCCTTTGTACCCCAGTAAAACCTGGTGTGACATCTTCAACTGTTTCCTATGCAGCTACAAATGCACAGCCTGTAGTTCTTTCCAGATTGCACTTTTCTTCCTTTATAATTTAATAATAATAAAAGCTAATATTTATTGAGTGCTCTGTGTGCCAGGTACTTTGGTAAGTAATTTAGCAAATTCCCTCATACAACCCAATGAGATGAGACATTATTATTGCATTATTATTATTGTTATTATTAGACCTGAGGCTCTGAAAGTTTAAATGACCTGCTCAAAGTCACAACCCCAGACTCTTAACTATTATGCCATCTTCCTAGGAGTCATGAGGTTTGGAATTGTGGTATCTTAAAGCTGGAAGAAACTAAATGTCTTCAGGGTCAGGGAGGCTCATTTGATGCCCAAACGTTTCTCATTCTAAACAGAGCTCTCCTCTTTTGGTGATGTCAGTAGACGGGAGGGTCAGAACAGTGCTGGAGGCTGTTTGACTGGATTCTCTACTGGCATCTGATGGTTTCTCATGATATGTTGGTAGAGTGTGTGTGAAAATGTGGCCTGGGTGTTTCCCGGGGAAAGGACTGTGTTGGAAGTGTCTTCTTCAATGGTGCCATCCCCTGCTGGACAGAAGGGACCGCCAGGTCATTGTTGGAGGGCTCTCGCCTCAAGTCTAAAGACTTCTGAGAAGTGGATATTATCTAGCTCCAAAACACCCGGAAGGGCTGCCCAGAACACGATGGAGATTAAGAGGGATTAGGATAGAGACAGATTTGTGCCTGAGGGCCTGATCAGTCAGGGCCTGGTAATCCATGGTTAGAAGTTTGGTCTTCATCCTAAAAGCATGGTTTCCCAGGCATATGACTTCCACTCAGGAGATCTATTCTGCCTCTTAGATTAAGTCTAAGTCTCTTAGCTAATAGTCCTTGTGGGGGACAGTTGCCATATCTTCCGGCTCTTCACAGAGTAGAAAATAGTGGTTAAGAATTTCAGCACCAGAGCCTGGTTAAGTAAATTTTGAATCCGAACTACCAGTCACTAGCCATGTGACCTTGGGTAGGTCACTTGAACCACCCTTTGCCTCAGGTTCCTCATCTGTAAAATGAGACTAATGATAGTACCTGCATTGTAGGGCTTTTCTGAGGATTATCTGAGCTAATATAGGCAAGTTTCTTAGAACAGTGTCCGGCTCCTACTTTTTGCCTCACAAAATTTATTTTGGAGTTTTCATTATTATTTGTATCATTGTTGGTGTTATCATTAACTTAAGGAGAAACACAGATAGCATCTGTATCCCAGCAGCTCCATCCACCCAAACACCAGTCCCCAACTTACTCATCTCCTCCTGCTTCTCCTACAGAATTTTGCCCCTCACTCCCCACACGTGTGCACACATCTTGTCTGGTATTTACCCCACAGGCTTTTAATTTGTCTCTTCACTTGTCTTCACTCTGCACTATTGAGTCCTTGAGGCCAGAGACTGTGGGTTTTTTAATTAATTAATTAATTAGTTAATCAATCAATTTGACTATACCAGCTCTTAGTTGCAGCACGCGGGATCTTCGTTGCGGTATGCGGACTTCTTAGTTGCGGCATGCATGCGGGATCTAGTTCCCTGACCAGGGATGGAATCCGGGCCCGCTGCATTGGGAGCACAGAGTCTTACCACTGGACCACCAGGGAGGTCCCTGTGGGTTTTGTTTGTGATTATTTTTTTCTTTTTCTTGTTGTTGTGGTTAGCATTATTTATATTTCCTGGATCCCCAAGGCCTACAATACAGCAGATGTTTAGCTGGTGAATGCAAAGAATAAATAAATGAACGTAAGGTTTCAACGTGATCACGGGGGCAACTTTTAACGGAATAAATTATCTTGAAGCACATAGCAGCATGCCAGCACATAACAGCAACATGCTCCTGGAGTGATTCTAACTGGATCGTTGCTGACAGTGCTTACTACGTATTGGTTAGGATTACTATGGTGTAAAAATTCAATTTTAAAAAGTTTAGAATTCAGACTCTTTGCTAATTCATACTGCCTTGCAAATTTGGTGAAATACCCTTCTGTAGTGTTTCTCCACCTGGGTTCTGCTGACATTGGGGATCGTAGAATTCTTTGTTGTAGGGGGCTGTCCTGTGTATTGTAGGATGTTTAGCACCATCTCTGCTCTCTACTATGTGAAGATTGATAAGTCAGTTTTTTTTTTAATTAATTAATTAATTTATTTTTGGCTGTGTTGGGTCTTCGTTTATGTGCGAGGGCTTTCTCCAGTTGCAGCAAGTGGGGGCCACTCTTCATCGCGTTGCGCGGGCCTCTCACTGTCGCGGCCTCTCTTGTTGCGGAGCACGAGCTCCATATGCGCAGGCTCAGTAGCTGTGGCTCACGGGCCTAGCTGCTCCGCGGTATGTGGGATCTTCCCAGACCAGGGCTCGAACCCGTGTCCCCTGCATCAGCAGGCGGACTCTCAACCACTGCGCCACCAGGGAAGCCCTGATAAATCAGTTTTTACTTGTTTTATTAGTAAAACATAACTTGGAAAAAAAAAAGTGCCCTCCCCTTCAGTTGTGACAATCGAAAATGTCACTTATTGTTTGTAGATTTTTTGATGATGGCCATTCTGACCGGTGTGAGGTGATACATCATTGTAGTTTTGATTTGCATTTCTCTA